GAAGAAGAGCGGAGGATCCAGTGGGACTAAGTAGTTGTTACTCTTTTCGTCACTTCTACCAAATTCTTCCCATGTGGGACTGACTCCCAACTAATGGGACCCCAAAGTTTACTTATAATTTGTCACATAGTGTATGTTTTCAGTGTTTAAGACTTTAAATTGTGATGAGCTGCTTGTGATTTTCATTAAATTCGCTACAGTTGTAACACTTTAAATTATTTTTGCTGTTTTGATAGTGTTTAAGAGTTATTATTTGACTATGACAGTTTGAAGCTATATGGGGAAACAAGTGTGGTTCTGTTGCTTTTTTGATTTGTGGTATTTAAAATTTATTGCATGATAAAGTAGGCCTTCAATAAATACGTGTTTAATAATGAAAAAAAAAAAAACTAGAACATATAGATTTGAAAATTTAAGATATAATTTTACACCCCCCAAATCCATGTATTTAAATTATATCCTCCTGCATATATATAACTATATGTTTTACAAGATTTTAAATGGACTAATGAGCATATATGCTGTTTTGTATATTTTCCCACTTAATGTACAGTACAAATCTTTTGTAGGCCACTAACCATTGTTTCACAAGCTAATTTTTTTTTTTTTACTGCATACTATTCCAAAATGTAGGTTTACCACAATTTACTTAATCTCTTATTGTTCTTAAATTTTCATTCTTTTAAATTCCAGGTTCAATCCCCAGTCAGGGCACATACAAGAATCAACAAATGAATGCATAAATGAATAAAACAACAAATCCATCTCTCTCCTTCTCTCTTTAAAAATTTTTTAAAAAAGGAATATAAGATAAAAAAGATTGCCGAGTGGTTCCTCCATATTTCTCATAAATAGCAGTGTTTTTGGACTACTTGAACAAGCTTTTTGCTCCTGTAAACTGTTTCCATCTTTATAGCTACAGTTTTGCCTATATCCATGATTACTTAAAATAAATTCCTCCAAAATAACTGCAAAGGATAAATATGCTTCTATGTTTTTCAATGGATACTGCCAAGCTCAGCCATACACACCTCTTAGTATCTTCCCCTGTACTGGGATTATCCTTTTTTAAAACTCTTTGCCTGCATAGCAGTTTGAAATCAGTATCAGAATTTCTCCAAACTCCATTCTTTTGTCCCTCTAGTTTTCTGCTGCCCAATCTTTATATAAACCTCTCTCTCTACTGCCTTTTCCCAGGCCGTCTTTTATTTGTGTTTTTCCACTGCTCAAGTCTTATAATGGCTCTGCTACAACACTGAAATTTGCCTGGCTAGTATTTTATCCCCTTAGAGTCTTAGAGCCAAAAAGTATCAACAAAATAATCTGATAAACTAATTCATGCTAATATGCGGGACTCATTCCCAGCAACATATGTGCAACATAACTTGGGTAGTTTGAGGAAAATATATTATTTACATCTGCAATGCATTTTATTTATTTTAATGCACAGTGGTTCTCAAATTTTGCTGTACATTGAAATCACCTGGAGAGCTTTTGAAAACACTGATGCGTGGGACTTATTTCCCAGAAATTCTAAATGAAGCTGGTATAGGGTGTGACTTGGGCATCAAGATTTTTTAAAAGCTCCCTAGATGATTCTAATGTAGCATTTGTGTTTGAGATGACTTAGAAAAAGTTACCAAATAGTTTCTTCTTAGGTAATATTGGAGAACTCCAAGGAAGAAAAGTACAATAAACATATTTCTTCTGCACAAGATAAAGGAGATAAGAGTGGTATGAGGGGTGAAGCAGTTGCCAATGACACGATAAAATTAGCATTCATGATTCTTGACCTGAGGCATGAGTCTGCTGTGTTAGGAAGTAGGCCAAGCTTCACTTCAGAAGTAGCTTCAGTTGCTTTTAGATTGAACCAATTATCTCTAAAATGATTTGGGTAACAAACTTTATGTCATGATATTTAGTGGTAGTTCTCCAAGTTTCAGTTGCTTCCAGTTTACATTTGTTTTATTGTTTCAACACAACTGGGCAATCCCATAGATTTGTGAATCTCCACAATCCATAGCAGACCTGTGGGACAACTCTTAAAAGAATAACTACAACACATTCCAGGCATTTAAGTACGTTACTAAACCTCACACCACCTTACAAGGTTGGCCTCATTTTATAGGGAAAACTGAGGATCAGAGTAGGTTAGGAAATTGGCCCACAATCAGTTGGTGGCCTGGCTGGGATGTGATTCAGGAAGGAATGATTCTAACAGTCATGCTCTTATCTAATTACAATGGGTCAAGCCACATTGTCTTTTCCTCAGGACAATTTGAAGCAACATTGGTAAATTGCTTTACTGGACAGAATAGGCTTCCATGTGGTCTGAATGATTTTTCTGATACTTCACAGTTTAAAAAACCAGTGATGAGAGCCACTTCTGTGCAAAGCCACTCCCAACCCACAGTGCTAGGTGAGGATACTTTGCTACTTCATCTACTTCTGTAACCGGGCATTACACACATTATCATTCCCAAACTCCAGCTGAGGGCACATTCTGTTGTTTTATTTTAAGATAGAGAGAAACATCTATGTGAGAAATAGCTGCCTCCTGCACGCCCCCTAATGGGGATTGAGCCCGCAACTCGCCTGTGCCCTGACCAGGAATTGAACTGGGACCTCTCAGTCTATGGGGCCATGCTCAATCCACTGAGCCACACATGCCGGGCTGGAGGCACATTCTGTAAAGGACTGTAGGGTCCAAAGACCTTGCCTTTAGTGGGATGGGATGGCAGCCTAGTTGGGGAAGAAAGGCTTTTCTTCCAAACTGGCTTTTCCCAGATTACTTACAATGGGGAAGACTTCTTTGGTGACCTGAAAACTAAAAATAATCTCTGTAGCCAATATAAAAGTTTTATTCCCCTCCCCCCACTGCCCTTTTTCTTATTCTTATTAGTCACTCCTTTTCTTATCTACTACCTACTATTTACTACAGCCTTGTAACCCACCCCAGGTAAATACCAGTGTACGCCAGAATCCGTGAAGGATGTTACTCCCAAATTACATAATTTCTGAAGGAAAAGAGAGATTTCAGGGCTTCCTAGATGAAGATCACCTTTCATGAAAACAATGATAGAGGAGGGGGCGGTCATTCTTTTATCATATTAGCATTCCAGTGAGACAGAGGGAAGGAAGAGGATCTATAGTTTCATAGAAACTTCCTAGGAGATAACAGGGGACTTAGTGGGTGAAGAAGGTGGCTGGATTCAAGAGAAGTAAACCCTACTCAGAGTATGCTGCAACACCCTAGTTAAGGGGTTTTTTGATAGCAGCACACTTCAGAGACCATGGAATCCCATACACGATGAGGATGGGCAGGGAAAAGGAACACATACAGGAAAAGTCATGGGTTTTTTCCCCTCTAGTCATTCTTTTTTTTATCCTCACCCGAGGCTATTTTTTCATTTTTTTTGTTCAGATAGAGTGGGAGGGAGAGAGAGAGAGAGAAACATTGACATGAAAAGGACACATCGAGTGGCTGCCACCCGCACGACCAACCAGGGCCGGGGACAAACTGCAACCAAGGTACATGCCTTTAGCGGGAACCGAACCAGGGTCTCTCTGGACAGCAATCAGATGCTCTAACCGCTGAGCCAAACCGGCCAGGGCTCCCTCTAGTCACTCTTTTTTTTTTTTTTTTCTTCCTCACCCGAGGATATTTTTCCATTTTTTGTACAGATAGAGTGGGAGGGAGAGAGAGGGAGAGAGAGAGAGAGAGAGAGAGAGAGAGAGAGAGAGAGAGAGAGAGAAACATCGATGTGAAGGGACACATCGAGTGGCTGTGGCTGCCACCCGCATGACCAACCAGGGCCGGGGACAAACTGCAACCGAAGTACGTGCCCTTAGCGGGAACCGAACCCGGGTCTCTCCGGACCTCAGGCCGATGCTCTAACCGCTGAGCCAAACCGGCCAGGGCCCTGTAGTCACTCTTGAGGGAGGGGTGGAGGGAGTGTTCACATGAATAACCTGAGATTTAAGCCCCTGGTTTGGGGAAGAGAGGAAACTTGATTTTGGAGGAAAGTTAGGAATTTAGATTGAGCAAGCTGCTCAGAAATACTGTTCAATTATTGGGCTCAGCCTTGGCTGCAGATTGTAGTTTGGATTTCAGAGTCTTTGGCACTAAAATAAGGCCTCTTACCATAGAATAAAGCAGAGACAGTAATGTTTTCCTATTTGGGGGGGGGGGAATAAGAAATAAACACTCATGATACAGTAGAGAGAAAAGTTACCCTGCTGATGTGAGCCACGGTATCCTGGCCTAGGCAAAGGTCATTTCCACAGCCAAGGACATCAAATAAATGCTGCAGAATAGGCAGAAAACAAATGCACCATGCAAACACGGCTGCTGCCTTCGCCCCTCTCCTCCAGCCAGCCAGGCCTCCCGGCTTGCTTTCTTGGACTAAGTTGATAAATGCCAGGCATGAAATGAGAGATCTGAGCGGTTCCTCAAACGCCTGGAGGAGCCCAGACTGCTGGCCCCCCGAACGGAAAGCCCCACGGCCAGGGGATGTTGGGACATCGTCTGTGCCCACTCCTGCTTTTAAGGTGGCTGCATTGCTCCAAATAAGCGCCGGTTTTCCCCAGAGCTGTCCCTAAAAACATTTAACTCGCTCTCCGCCGGCCCCTATCGGAGAACGAACATGGTAGGAATAGGTGGCTTATAAAATGCTGAAAGATTGCTTTTTGACGTTGCAAACCAGAAAGTGGGGGCTGCTGAGGTCAGACAGTAGGGTTAAACAGTTGTCAAATTCTATTCAAGAACTTCACCTTCTCCGTCGCCAACGCAGACAGGGAGACAGAGACCTAGCCCGCTGCTAGCAAGGAGGCGAATGCGACACCCTGAAAATGCCAGACTGAGCCACCTTAAAAAGCAGTTGCCTCACTGCATTAGAAAAATATGCATTCTCCTGGGACATGGTCCGGAAATTTTGCTTCCCCCTTCGAATACTGCTTAAGAGGAAGGAGAGAAAAACCAGCGCTGGGCTGCGTCTCACCGCTTGCTGTGCTCCCCGAAAAGTCGCGTCCAGCAGCATCAGCTTCCAGGGATCGGACACGGAGCTGGGCAGGGGGATGTAAACATAATAGGCGGCCAGCGCCACAAGGGCAGTGAGCACGACACAGGACGACCTCATCCTCCCCCGGGTCGGCTCGTCTGCGGGATGATGGGGACAAAAGGGCAATGCCACTCAAAGACCTCCAGCAAGTTTATGCAAGGGCCAGCTTCTCATTCACTGGTTTCTTATATACCCAGGAGCCAATCAGAGGCGGTGTCGGGAGGAAGTGGGAGCGCTGACGTGCCCCTCTCCGGTGCCCTTGCGCGGTGCTGCACACGCTCCCGGTTGGAGAAAGCGCCGGGCTCTGGGCGCAGCACAGCGGACTCTGGAGGACACGGGTCTGTACTGCACACCTGTGACCAAGGGCTCCCCGCTGAAGGTTCGCAAATGGAAACCTGAAATAGTTTCTCTTTGTGCAAAGCACTTGGGCCTTTCTCAACATGGAGATACTGAGAAAGGTAAAAACCCACTGTCTTACAATGGAATGAAATTCTAGCTGATACGTGGTGAAGGAAAATAATTACAAATTCTTATAGTTCAAGCAAGAGCAAGACAGTAGTATATCCAGCACCTACGTCTTGGTTTCTAAATCCCAGCCTCCAGTAAAAGAAACCATGCCTCTGCCACAGGTACTTGAGCGGGTGGGGGTGGAGGTTGATTCCAGGACTGGGCAGATAAAGTACAGGATTCGCCCATTGTGTTAGAAGATAGAGAAGTGCTTAAAAATGAAAGGGACTGGTCAACAGGACTCAGGTGGCAGCTTTAAGGCTCTCCCAATGGTTAAAGCTGGGGTAATTTTAGCATCAGAATGAATAATAATAGTGGATTATAAACCAATGAATTAAATACAAATCCATGAATAAATGGGGGAAATACCACCTGAAAAAACTCCTCTAGTAGATCATTGGAACCAAAAGAGCACTTGAATCCAGATTTTCTGTTAAAGATTGGGCATGGAAAGCGAGTGCAGAAGGGGAAAGAGAACTTCACCAGCAGAACTACCACCTGAGATCTACAAGGAAAACATTTGGAATAACTGTTTCTAGGAAATGGTAAGGGAAGAATTCCAGACTTGCTCAAGGCTGTAAACACCTGACACATATAATTTGTCACTTTAAAATAGTAATCTACATTTAATCTGATTCAAGGAAGTGAAGTAATCAATCATACATTGTAAACTGATGAGATTACTGCGGGAAAGTTCATTTCCTGTTTAAAATTAAAGGAAAATATGTATATGAGGGATACACTTCAATGGCATTTCAGACATTTAAGTTTGAAATCGTTTTATATATTTTTTGTAGTTACTAGTAAAACATATAACTCTAAACAACTAGAGAGGCATAAGTTTGTGGGTGAATGCATGTGCATAAAATTAGAAATGAATCTTTATGGGTGATGAGAAATAGTCCCAGAGATTAAAACCAAGCTGACTACTAGATTGGCTAAAAAAAAAAACAAAAAAAAAACTTGCTTTCAGGTAATTTATAAAATAATTCACAGTTTTACTCTGCTGCTAAGTAATTAGGACTATGAAGAAAATAGAACAGGGCGGTGTGACACCCTGTGGCTGGTTGCTGCTTTAAACTGGGTGATGAGCCTGGCTGGTGTGGCTCAGCAGATTGAGCATTGGCCCATTGGACTGAGAGGTCCTGGTTCGATTCCGGATCAGGCCATATGCCTAGGTTGCAAGCTCAATAGGGGGCGTGCAGGAGGCAGTCGATCAATCTTTCTCAATTGATGTTTCTCTCTCTCTAAAAAAAATAAATAAAAACACATTTAAAAATAAATAAATAAAGTGAATGAAGGGGTTCTCTTTGAAGAGATGACATTTGAACTGAGACCTGAATGACTAAGGAGGCAGCCACATTGGAATCGAGAGGTCAAAGAACAAGTGTAGAGGCTCTAAGTTGCTAAGAAGGTCAAGGAACAAAAAGGATGCTGGTGAGACAGGAGTAGTGTGCAAGGGGTGGTGATACAGGCACAGTCAGAGAGTCAGAGAGTCAGAGAGGTAGCATGGGCATGGGAGGGCAGATCTTTTGCCCTGGCCAGTTTGGCTCAGCGGTTAGAGTGTAGGCCTGCGGTCCAGAGAGGCCCGGGTTTGGTTCCCGCTCAGGGCATATACCTTGGTTGCAGTTTGTCCCCAGCCCTGGTTGGGTCATGCGGGAGGCAGCCACTCGATGTGTCCCTTTCATGTTGATGTTTCTCTCTCTTCCTCTCTCTCCCTCCCATTCTATCTGAACAAAAAATGGAAAAATGTCCTCGGGTGAAGATAAAAAGAAAATGCTTTGCTTCTAAGGAAATAAGATGTAATTGGAATTGAGCAATTAACATTTCCATTTATATGGAATTAAATTAGTTTTTATTAAAATCTCCCAATTATATAACATAGCAATATCATTGCTTAACCAAATCTTTATTTTATTACTTGAAATAATTTACCCAAAATGTCATGTACGACATCATGTGAAGTAAGTTTCTTCATCCAAAGACAAGCAGAACTTTAGTTCAACAAACACTGAATCCTACTGCAAGGCACTGTCAGGATGAAAATGGCCCCTTTCCCACAAAAAACATCCACTCTAGTGAGAGAGAAAACCAGATAAACAGGTTATTCCGGATACATACAACGTTCAGAGAGAGTGCAGAGTAAATCAAGGTTAGGTCTGATCTCTGATGAGTGGAGAGTAAGAAGATCCCTAAGAAGGATGGCAGCTGAGCAAATTCTTCAAGTTGAAAGGTGTGTGCTGGTGGACAATAGGTAAGAATATCCCAGTCAGGGAAAAACATACACCAAATCCTGAAATGTGGTGTGAGCACAGAATTACAAGCACCTTGATATTTCTAGAACATCAGATGTAGGAAGTGGAGGGGGACAAATTGACCAAAGAGGTTGAGAAGAAGTAACCAGAAAGAGTACTGTCTGATTTAGAGAAACTCAATAGTGATAAATAGTGAAAATGAAATAAATCATTTAGAAGTTAAGTTGGTGGAATTTCTTAACTGGATTCTAGAAAAGGGAGAAAGAGGGTAGAGTCAATAATGACTTCAGAGTTTCTGGTCTGAACAATGTCATCAACCGACAGAAATATTGGATGTAAGGCAGGTTGTCCGCTAAGATGGTGAGTTCAGTCCTGTCAGTACCCAGGATTATATTCAGCAACATTCTTAGCAATATGATCTAAATGCAACATTAAGCTTTTTTTTTTTTTTTATTGTTGAAAGTATTATAGATATCCCTATTTTTTCCCAAGCTTTTATTTTTTCCCCTCCTTCAAGCTTTTATTAAAAAATATGTTTTTATTAATTTTTAAGAGAGAGAGGAAAGGAAAGAGAGAGAGAGAAACATTGATGTGAGAGAGAAACATGGGCCAGCTGCCTCCTGCATGCCTCCTATTGGAGATCAAGCCCACAACCCGGGCATGTGCCCTGATCAGGAATCAAATGGAGACCTCTCAGTCCATGGGACGATGCTCAATCCAATGAGCCACACTGCCCAGGCAACAACATTAAACTTTTTATTCAAGTCTAAGTCACTACATGACAGGAGAAAATTAGTTTGGGAATTACTGTATTTATAATATGAAAACTTAATTTGCATGACACTCTACTGATGATGGTTTGAAGCTAATGCTTGATTTCACCAATTGTGGCAGCATTATATTCACTCAAGACAGAAAGCCTTGGCTTGTGTTCAAAGATTAGAAGGAAGTTTTTCTTTTCCTTGCAATCATCCTTTTATATTATCATCTAAAAGATTTTTGAACTTCTAAAAAATCCAGCATGGGCTAACTTATGGCAGCTCCAGGAAAATGACCATGTTGCTTTCTGGTTGGGGTACCATATTGCTTCCTCTTCCCATCATAAACACACAACTCAGGGGCCACTCCAATGCCTCATCCTCTGGTTTCCTGGATCTCACCCTGAGTAATTGTATTAGTTTTCTATTGCTGGTGCAAAAAATACCACAATCTGAATGGCTTAAAATAACAGAATTATATATTCTCACAGCTCTGGAGGCTAGAAGTCTGAAATCAAGGTGTGAGCAGGGCCATGCTCTTTCTGAAAGTTCTAGGAAAAAAGGATACTTCTTTGCCTCATCCTATCTTCTGTGATTGCTGGAAACCCTTGGCATTCCTTGGATTGTAGATGCATCCAACTCTGCCTCTGTCTTCACTGGCCATTTCTGCAGTGCATCAGTCTTTGTGTCTCTTTTCTTCCTATAAGGACACTATTCATATTGAGTTAAGGGCCCACCTTATATAGGTTAGTTAAGTTATAACCTCATCTTAACTAACTATATCTGCAAGACCCTATTACTAAATAACGTCATATTCTGACACGAGGAAGGAAGTAAATTTGGAATGGGTGTTTGGCACTATGAATCCAGTACAGTACCCAAATGTTAAATGAGTAATGGAAGCGCTGTAGCTAAGCAGTCCACCCCTTCCATTATAGTAGCTGTGCCTGTGGTTTCCAGGCCTCCTGAGATAGTTTGGGTGACTCCTGTACAGGTGATGTTTCCCTTGATGATCTTCTGAAGCTCAAGAAGATTGAATCCTAATCTAATGACTAATTAAGGCTACTAGGAAAAGAGGTGGGGTGAGGTAGAGGGTGTAAATGGGTTTTCTCACACCTTGTAATTTTGAATATCCTACCTATCTTTCTTCTACTTGATCAAGTCTATTGATGCTCTTTATTGTGTTGCTTTTTTCATTTCATTCATTGTATTCTTCAACTCTAGAATTTCTGTTTTATGATTTCTATCTCTTCGTTAAACTTCTCATTTTGTTTTGTGTATTGTTTTCCTGGTTTTGTTGAATTGTATTTGTTTTCTTGTAGTTCATTGAGTTTCCTTAAAAACAGCTATTTTGAATTCTTTGTCTGGTACACTGGAAATCTCCATGTCTTTGTGTTTGGTTACTGGAAGATTATTGTGATTATTTGGTGGTATCATGTTTCCTTGTTTTTTGTTTTTGTTTTTTTCATGTGCCTTAGAGTTTTGCATTGCAGTTTTCACATTTGAAGTAGCTGTCCTCTCCTCCAGTCTTTACTAAGCCCACTCCAATATCTCTAAACTCACAATAGAGTACTGGAATTTCTCTTCTGGAAACCTGGACTTCTACAAAGGCTCTCTGGTCCATGAGTAATTGGGGACTTATTGG